GGGTTGGGGCGGGTTTTGTCAAACCCAAACCCAAATCCATGGGTTTATCCGCCAAAAAAACCCGGGGTAAAACCCGTTGGGTTTGAAAAACTCAAACCCAACCCAACCCGCTGGGTATCCGCGGGTTCATGGGTACCCGTGGGTTTTTGTGGTAAAAAATTTACAATAACAAGTTTCTTTCAAAATAAAAGTTTAACATCAATTTTCTCATACAAATTAATCATACAAAAAACACCAATCTAGAGCATACAAGCAAATCGCAAATGATCAATACAAATTGTTCAAAATTAAAGATAAACATCTATAAACAATAAGATTAATTGAAAGCTTCTTCCTCCTCGTCAACTAAGTTTCTTCACTCTCTACTTCATCATATCAACTTCATTCTAAACAATTAGAAAGAACAAATTATACATGTCTCCACAAACATAAAGAATATTAGTTGTTCAAGGAAGATATATTATTTAGAATATTAAATATATAGGGAAAGTAATTATATGTGTGTGGGCGGGTACCCATGGGGCGGGTTTACCTAAACCCAAACCCAACCCAACCCGATGAATAGTGTAGCGGGTTTAAACCCGAACCCGGCCCAAAACCCGTCAACATGGATTTTACCCGCGTTGACCGGGTTGGGTCGGGTGGGTACCCGTGGGTTCGGGTTTTGTTGCCATCCCTAGCTCTACCTCCTTCATCTTCTTCTTTCCTCTTGTATCCACAATTTTCTACAAATTAAAATTTGAATTAAAATTATTGTCAATTTATTATCGTCATGTAATAATTATTAGCAAGGTTCATATGATAATTACTAGTTCTCCTGGAATAAATTTCTATATTCAAATGATTCAATGTTCGTATATTTCTCTATTATAATAATATTCATATATAATTTCATTTACAATAAATTTTCCGATCACAATATAATGTTAGGATTATAACGAACTTCACAATAAATTCTAACTTACTTTTCTTGCTTAACAAATTTTTCAATTACAATTTAAGTTTCGTACTACAATTAATACTTTTCTAGAAATAAGTTTCTATATTTAAATTATTAAACTTTAATATATTTATTAATCAATACAACCTAAAATTCATATCTAAATCCAAATTGAAATAAATTTTATAAAACTTACCGAAAAAAAAATTTATAAATCATAACAACAATTAACTCCGATATAAAACTAATTAATAACAACAAATTCTTTTGTTGAATAAATTTTGCTACATAAATATTTGTAATATAAAAAATTTTATAATAAAAATTTAAATTAACAAATTAAATAAAACACTAACGGCGACGTCCTGTCCCGGCGTCGCCAGCAACCGCGCAACGTCTGGTTAGGATGTTTGTCCATCATCGGCTACGTCGTGGCAGTTTGACCAGCTGCCGGCGACTTCTTGTTCAGACGTCGCCGATGATGGACAAACATCCTAGCCAGACGTTGCGCGATCGATGGCGACGCTGGGAAGGACGTTTGTCCATCGCCGTTGACGTCCAGACAGGACGTCGCCGCGGTCCTTCGTACAAAAATCAAATATAACTTCAGTGACGAGTCTTCTTCTCCGGCAACGCAACTCTTCTCTTCTCGGGCGACGCTCGTCTCCCAAATCTCCGACGACACTGCTCTCTGTCGTCTCCCGATGAAAAGTCGTCCTCTCCGGCGAGATGTCGTCGTCTCCGACAAGAAATCTACGACAACACTGCTCCCCGTCTTCTTTTGGCGAGAGTCGTCGTCGGCAACGTTATTTGGGAGGAAACCGACAACTGTTGGATGTTGGGAGGGAAGGGGATGTTTGGTTGGATTCTTAGGCTCAAGATAGGGTACATAACCATGGGTTATGCACCCATCAATAATCAAATCTGGACCCTTCATTTAGAAAATCCAAATATAAGAATGGAGAATTAAAGACCATTTTTATTTTCCCTAGCTTTCTTAATTGACTCATATCTTTTTCGTTTTAACTCGGATTTTAATTTTTTTTCACAGATGGAACGAGTTCATCGTGCTCTACAAAATGAGATCAATTTTCAATATTTTATGAGAAAAAAAATTCTGGCCTCTCGGTACTAACTGCATGCCGTATGGTATCTTCTTCGTTTTTAATTCGTTTTTGAAAACGTTTGCACAGAAGGGAGGAGTTCATCATGATCTATTGGATCTACAAATTTCCGGGTGAATAAATTGCAGGACCAAAAAACACCACACAATACCATACAATACCACCCTATTACGGGGTGGTATCTTGTGGTATACAATGTTAAAATTTGTAAATGACAATTAATATACTTCTACTATCATGTATTCAACCATCCTACAGTCTTGGTTTGTTCATACCACCATGGTACTCTTTTCAAACCATAGGTATGCTCTTATTTCAATACCAGTCAATACCATATGATATAGACTGGTAAAAAATGACTCAATTTTTTTTGTTCGAAAAAATATCAAAGTGGATATCATTTTGAAGAGCACAATTAATCTGATATAACTGTGCAAAAAAAATTAAATTTCGACTTAAAACGAGTGAGAAATCGTCCGTCAAAGATTAAGGAGGGGAAAATTAAGCTTTCGAGGAGTGAGAGGGATGCTGATGTGGACGGGTTACTCATGGTTACTCACCTGATCAATTCCCGGATTCTTACACAAAATTTGAATTTGAAAACGGAAAAAGGGTAAAATAGTAATTGGATTATTTTAGGACTATAAATAAGGTGAAATTAGTGCAACAAATAGCAATTCAGTATAAAAATTACTATAACTTTTATATTTCAAATTTCCTCTGTCCTCTCTCTTACTCCGCTTTCCCTTTCAGTTCTCAAGGGCTGCCGCCGGCACTTCTTGGTGACCGGCGGTAGCCCAAAGCACCGTGTCTCTTTTGGTTCCGTGTTCCAGTTCCTTTGCCTCTGTTTGTAGGCGATTTTCCTTCGGATTTTCCTGATGTTTCGCTTTTCTTGCCTTTGTGGCTTTTCTTGCCTTTATGGCTTTTCCTTTCCCTGTTCTAGGGTCTCTCTGGGTTTGCTCTCCTTGGGGCTGGGTTATGCATCTGGGGGACTCCTTCAGATCTTTGGTGGTCACCTCTCAAGATGGTGGATTTATTGTGCTGCATGGTGAATCCATTCACCGGTTCCGCCTCTGACTTCCCCTGTTGTGTGGTCTGCCTCATGGTCGTCGTTGGTGGGAGGAGGATGGTGTCTATTCCGGTTAGCTGCGGTGGCATCTCTTGGATCTTGGGGTTTGCGTTCGTCTTCTCGCCTTGATCAAGACTGGTACCTCGGTTCCCCCTGCCTTCTCAGCTCGGAGCATTTCGATTCTCAACCTTGACCACCGCCATGTAATCCCACATCTGAGATTCACTGTGCTGAGACGTCTTCGAGCGACTCCTAGGAGGCGGCTTATGGCGTTGTTGTGTTCAATAGCCATGGTTTTGGTCGGATCGAACGAGCTGATTGTGCTTGGTGCTTCTTTGTGTGGTGTGGTTGCAAGAGAAATTTGTTGATTACTGTTTCCGGATCTAGAGTTTCCAGGTCCTTTGTTTTGGTTGGTTTCATCCTGCGTTGGTGCTCACGTTGTTGTTTTCCTGAAGCACATATGGTTTCAATTATGTGCTTTGGGGATCTGCTCTTGATCTTTTTCTAGTTTTCTTGTTGGTTTCTCTTGTAATCTATCATTCAAAGTGCAATACAAGCAATCCCTTTGTAAAAAAAAAGTATAAAAATATAGGTGTCAATTACTTTGTCAAAAAAAACCATCTCACATGGGCCATGGCTACAACGAAAAACCAGCAGCGACAGCATTCATCCGTGGTTGGGTACCTCGCCGGTGTGGTAAAATCAATTTTGAAGAGAAATCTCTGCTTTAAGCCCGAGATCATCACGTCTTTGTCTAGTTTCCAATATAAATAAGGTTAAGTTTAAATATTGATTTTGTTATGATCGGCAAGTCATTAGGTAAGTTCAAATAATTTAAAATTTCTTAAATACCCTTAACTAACAAATAACCACTAATAATCACTAACTAATTACTAACCATTTGAGATTAATCTAACAGCCAGCATTGACTTGAGTAGTTAAGTAACTTGTTAAGTTTAGTGGCTTAAGGAACTGAACCCATCCCAAATCCACATGCAAACCAGATTATCAATCAGCATAATGAAAGAAATTAATATCTCCTCGCTCAGTTCATGGAACCCACATTCACTCACAGCACATATATATGTGGAAAGGAATCTAGTTCTTCCCATGGTAAAGGAAACCGTACCGGAAAGTCATACCGGATCCGCCAGTGGTAAGGTATTTTGTGGTACGACCGTGGTTCAATCGTTTCGTACCGGTAAATACCGTTTTTGTAATAGTAAAATAAATTTTTTATCAAAAAACCGTATCGGCAAAATCAGGGTAACGTTTTGAAGAAATACCGGAGTGTACCGGAATAAACCGGATAATATATACTAAATAATTATAAAATAACAATAAATACCAAAATATGTTAATTGAAATAACTAAAAAATAAAATTATATCTCCCCCAAATCCGTCTTATCCCAATCTCATCTTCCCATCTTAATATTTAATTCCAACTCTCCTCTCTCCCTTTGGTTTGCGAGGAAGGAGGGATCTTCCCCAACTAATTCCAATTTCCAACTCCCCTCTCTTCTCTTTCTCTTTCAGGTTTGTGATGCATGAGGGATCTTCCCCAACTAATTCCAACTCTCCTCTCTTCTCTCGTTTGCGACTAGTTGCAGGAGGATGTTTTCCATATTTCTTCCTTTTCTTCTAGGAATAATACCGATTGGGACAAAAGAAAGCATATCAATCGGAGGCAGGCAAGCTGGAGTTGCATGTCGAATCCCTCTGTTTATCCGTCTTCGCCGCGTGAAGTTGCATGCCGGGTCCGATCAATCGAAATCGGCGTTGTCTGTTGAGTATAGCGACGATCGGGTCTGGAGAAAGGAGGAGCAGCAGAGTGAAAGACTGAAATTTGGAACGTGGAGGTCGAAGGCCGAAGAGAAGAATCAATTAGGGCAGTTAGCTCGGTTAATCGTTTCTTAATTGTTTTTTTTTTTTTTTCAATTTTGTCGCCTGAAACGACGACGTTCACATACAAATTTCATTACCGCCGGTCTGATTTAAACCGGACGGTATCTCGATTTATGCCGGTTAAGCCGATTAAACCTGATGACGTGGTAGAAAGGAGGCTGGTCGGGTGCCGTTTCGCCAGTGGTCAGATTCCCGGTTTTACTGGTTGAACCGGCCAGTACAATCCGGTTTCCTTTACCATGGTTCTTCCAAGTGCTGCAAGTGTAACTCAGACCTTAAGAAGCATTAAATTTGTAGTCTCTCAATACAACTACCCCCCTACACCAGACACCCAACATCTTAAGTCTTAACACGATTTTGACAGCCTCGCCTAAATTGACAGCCTATGCGGCTATGCTAATCCTTACATAAGCAACTACATGGTGTTGCCAATCCTTACATAATTAACAGCAGGATTTCAAAACTACATTTCAAGACGCGAACTAGCCAATTTATGTTCACATTCTTAGCTAAAAGGTTCAATCCTACACGAAATAATTCCCATCTCAGCAAACAGATTACAACCGTCTCCAAGGGAACTTCCAAATCATATTACCAAGCATCCAACACAATCAAACTTAACAAATACCTTCTAGCTTCAAGCAATTACTTCATCTATTCTATGGGCTGCTTCTATGACTTGCAGACCAGTGAATCGCATCATAGTATTAGTAGTAGTACCCAATCCCCAGAAACCCTAACGAAATGAGAGACTAATCAGAATCAGATATGAGCCTGCGACCAAATAGGCATTCATTAACAACTGTAACCATCTCCAACCCCAATATCAAAACAAATAACAACCCAACTGCGCCGAACACTGCATCCATTCAAATCAAGCAGCAAGTTTAAAAGCAGAGAAAGCTACTAACCATTGATCCAATATTCGGATAAATTCATGGATTCATCTAAACTTTCAACTTCTTTCGCAATCCAAAACTGAGAGTAGTAACATTTCAGAAGTGAAAACACTAACACAAAAGAACATGGGAAGAAAAAAAAAGGTTGATTTCCTGCTCTCGAATAAAAACTTTACTCAGAGGGAATCTCAACATCACCGTCGCTAATCTCCTGCTGGAGATCCTTTGGGTCCTTCCCATCGACAGTACAACCCACGGAGACGCAAGTCCCCAAGATCTCCTTCACTGTTCCGCTCAAGTCCTTGGCCATAGATCGAGGGCTCATGACCTTAGCAATCTCGATAACATCATCAAGCGAGATGTTGCCATTGTGCTTGATGTTCTTCGTCTTCTTCCTGTCACGCTCGGGCTCCTTCAGGGCCTTGATGACAAGAGCAGCAGCCGAGGGCACCACCGTCACCTTAGCCTGACGGTTCTGGACAGTGAGCTTGACTGTGACGCGCAATCCCTTCCAGTCTTTCGCGGTCTCCTTGGCGATGTCCTCACCGATCTTCTTTGGTGAGAGGCCCAGCGGACCGATCTTGGGAGCGAGGGAGGAAGCCGCTCCGACCTCACCGCCGGTTACACGGACGAAGACGTCCACCACCTGAGACGGATCGAACTTCGGCGGCATGGTTGCGGTGGTGGCGAAGAGGGAAACGGGATTCTAGGGTTTGGGAGAAAGGAGGAAGCAGTGTGTTTTGGGGGCGCAGCAGCTTTATTGGATGTGAGGAACGGTGTTTGGAGGTTAAATTAGGGGGGCGAAGTTCTAGCTAGGGTTTTGCTGACTGGACTGGGAATTATGAAACTATCCTGTGGGCCTTAGTTGGGCCGAGGACTGTACGTTTAAGATTGAAGCCCATGACTGATTATTGCGAGCTGGGGTCAGTGGCTCAGTGACAGTGACTGCGGAAGAAATTCGGTTGCAGAGGAGAGGGTTAATTGCACCCGATGTCACTTAAGTGCTAATAATGTTGCAGGGTTAGCACTTAAACAGATTTTGTTGCAACTAATCCCCTTACCTAAGTTTCCGGTTGCAAAGCTACCCGTTCCGTCGACGGAAGTAACGGCAGGTACCAAATACATAATTTGCTAGGACAAGCAGGTAGGACATGTCAGCACAACTTGCTGACTCGTCCGAGCCTTTTTTTCCCGCTCATTTTCCCGCTTTTTCTGTTGTTATCCCGCTCTCCCCTTCCTCTTATATTCTGGAAACTCTCCGTCAAACCCGAAACTCTTCCCTTCCGCTGTTGTTATCCCTTTCTTTCCCCAAAATTTCCTCACCCGAAACACACCCTTCTCTCTTTACACCCTCTTCCTCCTTCCTCCAAGTCGACAATGGCGGCAACACCTCCAATGTGCCGGTGCGTTGTACCGACGGTTTTTCGAACCTCGTGGACTGATGCCAACCCCGGAAGACGATTCTTCGGCTGCGCCAATTATCGGGTATGCTGATTAAATCTTCATTTCATTTTGGCGTGTACTGCATATGCTAAATCTTTCCCATATATAAACTTTGGATCTGGTTCTTCTGTTGTTTGATTCGTAGGGTGTAAATGCATGCAATTATTTCCATTGGATCGATCCACCACTTGAAGATAACATTAAGCACCTTGTTCTTGCATTGCACAAGAGAATCCGAGAGGTGGAGAGGAGGAACAATCACAGCTCATTTGTTAGAGAAATGAGCAAAAGTTTTTTTTATTGTGGTTGGAACTCTGTTGGCTAAGAGTGTGATTGATTACCTGTTTGGGAACATGTAATGAGGTGGGAACCTGTTTAGGATGATTTATCAATTGGAAACCTGTTTTGGATGATGTAATGAATTTGGAACATCTTTCGGATTATGTATTAAAGGAGCAATGTTTCGGAATGTAATGTCATGCTAGAAAGAGTCTGCAGATCTGCTAATGAAGGTAGAAAGCTTTAGAAGTTGAGAGAAGTGTTGTTTCCATCTTCAAAATGCAGGATATTTCGAAGGACAAAGCTAGGCTGCATTTAGCCTAGTTAGAGCAGTAAAATAGACAAGCCGAATAAACCAGGGAGAATGTGTGTTCAATTTCAATTAGTGTATATGTTCATGAACACCAAAAATGTCTTGGAAACCAAATCACAAAAAAAAAAAAAACAGCTGATAGTTATGTCACATAATCACCAAAAGCAGCTGACAGTCATGTTTGTTTACTGTATGGTTCCACCCAGTGGCGGACTCATAAATTTTTCTTAGGGGTGTCCTCTTTTAAAAATAAATTAAATAAAAATAATTAATAATTATTAAAAATAAAATCGTAAATTTGAAAATACCTTACTCATACAGGTTAAAAAAGTCCATGATTTGTTTTCATATTCGAAAATAATTGTAGAACACACTTGGTGTCTATAGTGTTAAAAAAATTGTCTCTATATACCCTACTAGACAATCATTCACGAACTTATCGCATATTCAATTTGTAAACTTGTTCTCGATGTAACCCAAAGCTGAAAGACTCTTTCAACACTTGCCGCATTAAGGGTAGCTTGAAATTAGTTTAATTGTTAGGTTTTTAAAATAATTAGAGATAGGAAATGACATATTACTATTACATTTTTCAAAATCGAACAACAAATAAGTTGTAGGTCAACGAAAATTAAGTTTATTAATAAGAATAGTGTTCTAGATTTGAATTACCCAATCTACCACTTATATTCCTATACACAAATGACAGTAGGATAATCATGTTTTCAAATTTCAGGGGTGTCCCTCACTATCAATTATAGTTTTTTTTATCCATACGTAAATTACCACCGGGGTTGGATAATCGTATTCCCAAAATTTAGGGGTGTCCGGGGACACCCCTAAAACCCCCTGGGTCCGCCCCTGGTTCCACCCCATTTAACTACGAAACAGATCACATCTGCCCTTTCCCTTTTGAAACAATAGGAAGTTTGTTTTGTCTTCCCTCGCCTTGTGCAAAGCGCATTGTTTGTCCCTCAGATTAACTGCTCTGTCGTGGTGGAAGACACTAAGTAAACATCATTACTTTTTGCTTATCTGACATGAATGTCCAGCTTCCTGGATCCTTGAAGATATCAAGATCTATACACAATTGGTTTAAGAACCAAGTCCAGTTGTCTCCATTCTCAACTTTGACTGCAGCATATGCTAAAGGAAAACTCCCTCCATTCCCATCTATACTAACTGCAGTCTGCAGACAATAATTGTCCTCCATATTCTATCTTCAGAAAACATCCGTCAAGCAGAATTACCTTTCTACAGAAAGCAGCCCCCTTCTTACAAGGTTCTAAACAACAGTACATTCTCTTGAAGACATAGGAATTTTCAGTTGTTTCCAGATAACAGGTTGAACCGGGACTTGTCCTACGAACTTGAGCACAATAGTCCTGCAGCTTATGATATTGGGCCTTAGCATTGCCTCTCATAAGATCCTTTGCAAGTCGTTTAATCCTCCAAGCCTTCCACCTTGAAATAGTCCAATTATAGTCTTCTGCAACTGTTTGCATAATTGATGCAGCTCCCCAATCCGGATCAGCCTGAAACCTCTGTATGTATCTTTTGGCGATGAAATTAGCATTCCCAAATGTGTTCTTGAACACCAAGACACAACCCTCATGCCTTAGACAACATGATCTTATCTGAACTGCCTTTCCATCATCAGTTGGGGCTACCCATATGTTCCATGGACATCCTGGTTGGCATACAACTTGAACTCGTTTACTGTCACTGTGCTTAAACTTGAGTGGATGTTTGCTGTTGATAGAGTAGTTCTTCACAGCATCCTTGAAAGTGTCTTTATCCCTGAAAATTTGGTGCAGACAGAACTGGGGATCATTCATGTCTTTCTCTGGATTGAACTCAGGGTACCTTGGACGAGTTGGAACCCTTTGATGTTCGTCTTCTTCATCTGAATGGACGTTGCCTAGGTAATCTGAATCATATGCTTCATCCTCTTCAGGAACCTCAAATACATCATCAATATACATGTCATGGTTACCACCCTCCCCATCACTGCTTTGCCTCTCCATATTTTCATCACTGGCCTCAAAATCAGCAGCCAAACCTCGTTCAAGATCGCTCTCCACATTGTCATCAATATTAATTTCGACCAGTTCCCTGTTGTCACCTTCTCTTTCAGCCTCCCCTACATTGTTTTGGCAGGGCACATCATATTCTGCCTCATTCATTCCCCTGCTGCCACCATCAATGCCACCATCAGTTCCATTGTTGTGGGAGAATGCCTCTGCCATATCATGTGGTACTTCAAGTGGGCTTTGGAGAATGTCTCTGCCAACTTCTATTTCATTTTCTCCTTTGTCTGCTTCTAGGTTAGCTTTAGTCAATTCCTTTGTATTGATCAGGTAAACCTCAACAAACTTAGAGACTTGAATAACCTTTGCAGCCATCTCCATAATGTCTGTCACTTCTCAATTCTTGTAGCCCTTCCTTCAGTCGTTCTCCTGGTAGTCTCCAATAGTATGCCCAACTATTCTTCAACCTATATTCCTCCATCATTCTGGCACTTTCTGAGAAGCCAAACTCAACTATTCTCTCCTTTATAATGGAGCTCGATGGTAAACTTGTCATCACCGATTCCTGCCAAAATCAACAAAAATAAACTTAGCATTTGAAAACCTGTCATTAGCCGACGAAAATTGCAGCAAAAACACACAACTCACCATATGTTGGGATCTGATCAGTATCTCCTACTTCCCTAATGGATGGACTCATCTTTGCAGCAGCAACACACAATACGCAGCAAGATTGCTTTGTTAACCTATTACAAGCTATATTCATCAATATGTTTATAAAGAAGAGAGCTTCACCTCACTTATAAAGAACCAAGAATCACTACCTATTTCAACCCATCAACTAGCTGTATTCCTCAATTTGTTGTTTCAAAGCACTAAGAACATCACGAAAAGTAATCAAAATATGTACAATCAGAGGAAAAGTGAAGAACTTGCAGCTGCATTGCCCGTATTTGGTACCTGGATGGGCCTTATTTATTCTTGCTATTCTTCTTTTCGCCACACGAAGGTCTTGCTAATCCGCCCCCCTGTCGTCTCGCGGTCGTGTTTCTTGGCGAAGGATTTCGTCTTTGCGAAATTCTATTACAGAGTACAGAGGAGGGAGAGGAAAGGTCGGAGGAGAAGTCGGCTGATCAAAAGAGGGTTCCCCCCAAAAGAGTCTTCGAATGTTAGTGGGCACATTTGGTGTGGCCCTCGGATGAGTCATTTGGATTCTCGGATGAGTCAGCAAGCTGTGCTGACATGTCCTGCCTGCTTGTCCTAGCAAATTACGTATTTGGTACCTGCCGTTACTTCCGTCGACGAAACTGGTAGCTTTGCAACCGGAAACTTAGATGAGGGGATTAGTTGCAACAAAATCTGTTTAAGTGCTAACCCTGCAACATTATTAGCACTTAAGTGCCATCGGGTGCAATTAACCCCAGAGGAGAAAATAGGAAAATGATGGTGATATTCGGGCTTTGCTTACTTCGGAGGTGTATCAGCAGAGAACAACAAAACCCGAAACTACGGGTATCCTACCCGACCCAACCCGGTTAACGCGGGTAAAATCTGTGTTGACGGGTTTTGGATTGGGTTTGGGTTTAAACCCATTCACTATTCATTGAGTTGGGTTGTGTTTGGTTTTAGGTAAACCCGCCTCATGGGTACCCGACACACCCATATAATTAATTATCCCGGTATATTTAATATTTTAAACAACTAATCTTCTTTA